TTTGGGGGTTGGGTTTAGGGCATTAGAGCTTTAGGGGTTTCGCAAGGACCTTTTGTGGGTTTATCGTTTACGTGGGTTTGTCGTCTCTGTTTGGTAAAGCAAGGTGTTGATTGCGGTTCCCCCAGAACACGAAGCTCTAAAAGCTTAGATGCAAGCCGTGCCCAGGGCTGGCATAAAGATGGCACCGTCCATTCCCCTGGTCAGCGCCGACGACAGTTTTTTTCGACACCCATCCTGAACCGTCGACACATACAGTGGCACTGTGGCAACATCCAGAAGCTCAGCTTTTCAAGGGCTGGGAGGGATTTGCGATTCTGGCGGGATTCCTAAACCCTAAACCCTAAACCCTAAACCCGGCAAGCAGAGAGGGGATGCCGGGATTCGGAATTGCGCATTGCACTGACCTTAATCAGCCTTGCTATGAACAACTTGGAGGTTCATGGGTAGTTATAAGTGGGGTTATAAGTAGGGTATCTACAATTATAACCCATATTAGGGGACTTATAACTCCACTTATAACTAACCATGAACCTCCAAGAAGGTTCAGGCGTTTAGGGTTTCAGCCTTGCAAATTGGACCGGCGCGGACTCACGTTAAATCCTGCAGCCGCTAGGCGCTGAAACCTGAAACCCTGTCTCTAAAAATCCTAGCCCCTGAACCGCTAAAGCCTCCGAAAGCCTATACCCTTTACCCTGAACCCCTAAATCCTTACCAAGGGCGAAGCTGGGCTCTTGCAGTGGGATCACCGCAGGAGAAGTTTCCCAAAGATCCAAAGTAGCAGCGGGTTGAGGGTTTAGGGGTGTAGGGTTTAGGGTAGCAGAGGGTGAGAAGTGCTGTGGAGCGTGGCTTGGAGGGCGTTTCGGGGGTGTTAAGGCGCATGGCTCTGCATGTTTCGGGGTTGATGGTTTAGGGTTTAGGGTTTAGGATTTAGGGTTTAGGGTTTAGGGTTTAGGGTTGGAAGGTACTGACCCGCAGGTCCCGGCTTCATCCAGTTCGGGGACTGGCGTCTGGCTGCTGTTAGCTATGACTACTTCTCCATCTCGCACCGTTCCAGAAATACCGCCATGACCCTCGAGCTGATTGATTCGAACTCAGGGTTGATCGTGGGGCCTTTTTCGGAGGCTGTGACCTTTTGGGACAATCTTGGAGCTACCAGTTAGGACAGAGACATGGGAGCATCGCTTGAGTTGCAAGTGAGTTGCCTTGGGAGGAGATTCAAGTCGGATGGGACGTACTGCGCGACATGTCACCAACACCATAATGGTTGGGACGATCGCGAGTCCGGGTATGTGCCTGCGGGGGACCTGCAGGAGGTGAAGATCGGAGATCGTTTCATCGAGTTCGGCAAGTTCCTGGGCTCTTTGTTCGGGGGCTTCATAGTGTAATTTAAGGTGCCATAACAAGGAAACCATCTTATTTGCTATACACATTTTTCACGAAAGGTGCCTAGTACGCCAACTTAAGGAACATTCCTTAACAAGAACCCAGGTTTTGGCGGCTGGGCGAAGTAAGCGAAGACAAGCTCTCCATCTCTCATTCTAGTGGCCGCACTGCCATGGTGTACAAAAAGGACGGTCACTTGCTAGGCGGGCCTCGCACCGATAACAACCTCTTCAACCGTCTCACGACTGAGCCCAAGGGGGTTACTTTCGGTGATCGCTTCGTGCAGATCGGCCACTTCCGAATTGGGGACGTGGACGGGTGGCACTTCTCCATCTCGCATGTGACGAGCGGCAAGACCCAGGAGATTTATACAGGAGATGGACTTCACATTTGGGAGTTTCAGAAAATTAGGGTACCTTATTTTGGGGTCCTTATAATAGGGATCCTATTAATTAGGGTACTATATTAGGGTCCCCTATTTCGGAAACCCCCATTTTGAGCTTCTCTAAATCATCCTACATACACAGTGCCAGAGCCCTAAAGCAGCCGCAGGAGACGGACATCGCCACATGGGCAATGGGCATCGTACAGATTGGCAGACAACGGGTCGTCCGCTGCAAGATTGCAAGATTTTCCCGGAAAAGCCGCATCTGTTCAGCTTCGATACGTTGTATGCCTTCTACAACCCGACTCACAAGCGCTACCTACAGCTGCATCCTGGCATTGAAATTAAATTGCCTGACCAAAGCCCCGAAGCGCTGGAAGCGGTTTAGGGCTTAGGATTTAGGGTTTTGGATTTAGGCTTGCAGACTGCTGCGCGAGGAATAATGTGGCAGACATGGCCTCCGTGAAGGTCGACAGTGGGCCCAGTGACTTGCCCTACTGGCGGGCCTTCGAGCGCTTCTCGGTCGTGGACGCCGGCAACGGCCTCGTCGCGCTGCACAATGCCAGGAACAACAGGTTCATGAAGATGAGCCAGAGTCAGATGATGGCGTCTCCTATCAAGGCTGCGAATCGGCTCCCCGCGAGCGGCTGGGGCAGCGAGTACTTTCAAATCGTCGATGCTGGCGATGGGATGGTGGGACTCCACAACCCCGGCCACAACCGTTTCGTGCAAATGCACAGCAACGGCCATGTTCAAGCCACAGGTCACAGGAATTCCTGGGACTTGAAACATAATAAGGGTTGATCCTGGGAGAAATTCTACATGGTGCCCGTGAAGAATTATCTTCAGCCGGGAGAATGGGTGGGCTTGCGCCTGGGGTGACTTCTTCAATGTTTCGGTTATGTTGGTGTTAGTGCTGAAGTTTCGCTGTAGACGGCTCACTCCGCATGGGATGCTCCGCCGAGGTTCAATCCGAATGCCAAGCGTTTCCTCCAAATGCACGGCTCCGGCATCGGGTGCAGCAATCAATTTCATCTCTTCGCCGTCCTGCAGGATGGCCATACCTACGAGCGATTCAGGGTGGTTGATGCTGGCAATGGCATGGTTGCACTGCACAACCACATTTTCAATCGCTACTTGGTCATACTTGGAAAGCCTAAACCCCAAACCCTACACCCCAAAACCCTAAACTCCCCTAAACCCTAATACTATCCTAAACCCCAAACCCTACACCCCAAAACCCTAAACTCCCATTAAACCCTAATACTATCCCAACCGTGGGACCAGGCTACGTGAGCATGATCTGGAATGGCCACGCTCATGTGATGACCCGAAGCGGGGAGTCCCCTGACGACGCTCGCGGGCGTTTGATCGAGACTTAGGGTTTAGGGGAGTTTAGGGTTTAGGGTTTAGGGTTTTGGGTTAAGGGTTTCTTTCTGTTCCTCCTTGACTATATCCATATACCAGGACCCTCATAGCCTCAAATAGGGGTATATCGTCCCAAATAACGGGTATTTAGCATCTAATAGAGGGTAGATGGAGGGTCTAGCAGCTTGGCATGTAATTTGAGTGACATGTTCCGTGGGGACGACTCGATGCCCCAATCAGTTTCCATGTTGTGACGCCTATCTCCGGTCCCAGACCAGCGTCGAGCTCCCCAACGGTTGGGCCGACTCGACGGCGTTCGTCCCGGTGCCTATTAACCCAGGCCTAAACACCAACGAGATCGCCTTGTGGCATCCTGGTCATAGTCGCCTCCTGTCCGAGTTTGCTCGATGCTTCGGGTTTCAGGGTTTAGGGACAATCGCTGTCCTCTTGCAGGGGAGCTGAGGCAGGGCAGGCCTTTTTGTGACCTGGTCATGCTGTAATCCCTTCAGGACCTGCATACAGCATGTCGTGGATGAATTTGCTTACGGGGTGCTACTACTCACTACTGCTCTAAAGATCCCGTTTGTAGACAAGTTCGACCCTGCCATCTACAGCCTGTCCGAAGTAGATTCCAGCCTTGAACCCTAAACCCCAAACCCTAAACCCCAAACCCTAAACCCTATTCAGA